TAATCACTCTTTATCTTCAAAACAGTGTCAATTCTTTTAGGTACACTTGCACACAATTTTTGAAGGAACTCATTTTTGAAGGGAGGGAGGGAGAATTTTTAAAATTGGCTCTATCACCCCCACCCAGTCAGACTCAATCTTCTCTTTTAATAGTTGCTATGAAGTGAGACACAAGCAGATTTCAATCAGCAAACTTCAATGATAACATAAAAATCTCTACACAGTTACCAAATTTGTAGATTTGATCTTGATGATTAATGCAGAATTCAGATGGAAAGAGTATGAAATATTGTATTGTGCTGATCTAAGAACATTTTAAGATTGTGTAAACAATTAACTCTTGGTAAATCCAAGATAGATTGATACCTTATTTTGACTAGAATTGCACTTCAATAAAGATTTTATTGATTCTTGGGGTAATAGTTTTCCACTTGTGATAATTCAAAGTTACAGTAGACTCCCGTAAATGGTACTTATAGTCTAGTTCCAAATTTCCAACAACTGCACCCCATGGTTATGTGACATATTTTGGGTTCACATTTAAGCTGTTTGCAGCATCCCATGATCATGATTTCCATTTTTACCAAAACCCATTATTTATTTCTAGTTATCGACAAAAGTATCCCACAAACAACGGATTCACTTAATGTCCACACATTCTCTTTATGAACACCATGTTCAGTTAATGACTGTTGCAAAAAAGAATTAGGTCAGTTACATAAGTGACCCACTTTACTATTCTTATGACTTACAACCATAATGGCAGGCTCCATTATGGTAATAAATGGAAGATTATTTGTATATATAAAATCTCATCTCTTCTGGTAACATGAAAGATCTACACAATAATGGTACTGGAATTAGTTTCAGTCTTCCATGTCATGAAGTAAATTTTAAACACATGTTCCATCTTCACTGGAAAGAAAGGAGTTTCTGAAAACATCCTCCATAAATTCACTCAGATTTGATTAATTTGGGAGGTTTTCAATACCAATCACACATAGCTTTTTCTTCCATGTTTGGACTCTTAAGTAATTGATTTATGCAAAATATTATGAGTGGTTTGAGTTATGGTCTTATGGTTTTGTAATTAATCTTCGTATCTAGCCAATTTTTCTTGCATCTGTTTTAAATCACTCTTTAGCTCAGCCAGATATTGTTGGATCAGCTTCAAGACTTATAATTTAACTAGGATCTTTTAGTAACAGAATCCTCCTCTGCCATTTTTCCCAGCACAGCAAATAGTGACGCAGTTAGAATTAAGCTAGCTATGACCCATTTGGATCTAGCTGCCATGCTGATAGTTCATTAAAAACAAAATTACATATATATTTTTTAATTACCCGATGATCCACAGAATCAGAAAATGCAGGACCTTGAAAACCCTCTAATCAGCAAAAAAGCAAGATATGAGCCAACAAAGTCATCCCAAACTAGATATCAGTGGAGCATTAGTTAATAACTAACAATAACTAATTAACTAGTTAACTAATTAGTTAATAATTAACACCTGCTCATGGCTTTTTGCAGGTTGTTCTAAAGTGATTGCTGACTCCCAAATTTAGGAGCCCTGGTGGCACAGTGTTTAGAATGCAATATTACAGGCTAACTCTGCTCACTGTTAGGCATCCAAAATTGTCCATGGTAATCAATCACTCCGAGACAAGTATAATCTCCAACTGATTTATTTGGAACAGCTCTGGTACTTCTATTCAATTTCCAAACTGAAAATCATTTTCAGCGTGTTTCACAAAATCCACCTTCTCTCCTCCCACTTCTTACACTTCATTTATCACGAGAACCAATTAACTGCAGTTGGAATTTTTTAATGCAACGAAATAACCTTGAACTTTTCAACTCCTCCACCCCCTTTGCATTCGTTATAACAATCTTGGCAGCTGAATCTCAGAGTGACACTCACAGCCAGTTCAGCATGACCCGCTCAAGGTTGACTGAGCCTTCCATCCTTCAGAGGTTGGTAAAATGAGGACCTAGATTGTTGGGCATGTGTCAACTTTTTTCAACTTTCAATTTCTAAACATTAGGGGTGCTCAAAAGTTGTGACATGCCTCGGGGATTGTAAAAATATTTTTGTTAGTTTAATATAATTTAGATGTGCTTGGTAAGTAGCTACATAAATAGCATAACTTTTTAACATTGTTTAATTTGTTGAGGACAATATTTTTACATTTATAAACTGCCCAGAGAGTGCTGTAAAGCATTATGGAGCCATATATAAGTCTAAGTGCTACTGCTATTTATTCATTACATGTATGCCTTACTTCTTTTTCAGTTTAAAACTGCCTCTATTTGCACATTTATTGAACTGCAAGACTTGACATAGAAGTACTTGACATAGAAGTATTCTATTCTTGGAAGAGTAACTGCAAGTTCATGAGATAGAATTCTATTTCCAAGTATAATTTGACATTTCTTTTGCAGCACTTGCTAAACAAATGCTGTGGCCTTAAATGCAAACCTATTCTTCTGAATGAGCATTTTTTGCTGGAAACTGGTAAGAAACATCATAAATCACACTCATGACCATGAAGCATTGCAACAGATTACAGTGACCTGTTTTCAGGATTGGTGATTTTTTCTCTCTAATTTTCTAATTAAAATGATTTAAATTTGGTTTTTAGGAGAAGAAATTAAAATGTCGTCCAGAGAGCTGAGTCAATTTCTGGGAGGTCCCTAGCAACAGGGAGAGTGTCTTCAAAGACTTGACAGACTCAGTCCAATCAGCAAGAAGTGACTGATTACCCAATCCTGAATGCTATCTCCACCACAATGGAGAATAAGGTTATACGACTCTATGTGCGTCTTTGTGTGTAGGTGGCATATTTTACAACCAGAATTTCCAATGGTGAATAAGCACTGTAAGCAGATAAAAACAACTGGTAAAGTTCATTCTATATTAACACCAAGGTTTTGCTATTGAGAAATTTACTACTTTTACTGTTTACTGTAAAAGTCACTTTTATCAATGATTCAGCTTACTCTAAGTACTAAAATATATGAAACATTCTAAATATTTTATAGCATATAAACCTGTGATGGCGAACCTATGGCACATGTGCCACAAGTGGCATGTACCGCTCTATATGCGGGCACACGAGCCCCAGCCAAACTTACCTGCACTGCGCATGCGTGCATCTCCCAGCTGATTTTTGGCCTGTTTGTGGCCGTTTTTGCCCTCCCGGAGGCTCGACGGAAGCCTCTGCAGCCTCAGGAGGCTGAAAAACAGGAAATACCGGAACAGGTCCGTTTTCAGCCTCCTGAGACTTCCCTCAACCCTCCAGGACCCCCCAGAACCCCTGGGCTCCAGAGGTCCTCTGGAAGCTGAAAACGGGCACTTCTGATATTTCCCGAGCCTGTTTTTCGGCCTCCCAAGGCTGCAGAGGCTTTCCTCGAGCCTCCTGGAGGGCAAAAACAGCCTCAAATGGGCCCAAAATCAGCTGGGAGGTGCGGTTCTGTAGAGCCGGGCAGAACCAGTAGCATCCCACCCCTGAACACCAGCCTTTTCATTCAACTAAAAAGGGACATTCTATTTCAAAAGGATACTAATGATCAAATTGTTATCATTTTGTATTATTTCTAAAAAAGACTATTTCTGCAGATAACCTACTTGAAATATCATCTGACATATTTTCAATTTCTTATGGATACTACAGTAGTTGCTTCTCCTATTTCTTAGATAAATGCTGTGACCCTTGACCTCTGCAACCAAGTTTCACGTTTTTTTTTTTTTTAGGAGGCAAATCACCAATATAAAAAAATCAAAGAAACTGATTTTTTATTAAAACCTGATCTATTTTTCATCTGGCAACATTTCAGTCAGTAAAACATACACATCAGTATCTCAACTTTTATTTTCTGAGGATGAAATGCTAAAGAAAGGAGTGCTCTCACCTGTCCAGTTTTGCTTTTTCTGTCCTGTCTTTATACATAAAACATGCAACTGAAGTAGTTTATCAAATTGAAAAATACTTCAATCGGTTTTGTAAACCTAGTCAAGTCAGTATTTACATATTATATTTGCTTTCTTCTGTTTTATTTTTGTTTCTTTGTAAAGTGCAAATTTTATAACATAGTAATTTCTAAGTTTTAAAAGTCTTAGCAACCTGTTCTCACTTCCTAGACAACTATAAAATAATATATGACTAAAAGAATTTTCACCAAGCATTAGTTTGTATTTGTCAATGGATTATCATATTTGACAGTTTTAGGAATCCCCAAAACACCTACACACACACACCTGATTTGACTTCTCCACTGTACTACTGGGAACCTCAGTAGTATCCTTCACAAAGATGTTGTCAATAATGTGTCTTTCTGCACATTCCTGGCCACAAATTGGACAGCGAACAACACCAACTAGTAGGGAAAAAAAGAATGAGGTAAATTATAAATTTACAAATTAGACATTCGCTCATTTTTTCAGGACTTTTTTTTTATTCTATTCAACAGTGTCCCATTGCTTAGCAAATGATGCATTCTCCTCAGCTGATCTCATTGCTTCTTCTCTAAGTCTCACATCATTGTAATAAAACTTTATTTTACATTGAAAAATTCCTTAAACCAAAAGCATAGCCTTATTTTTTGTGTTCAAGGAACTTAGATGATCATATATTAAGCCATGTGGAATGTATTTATAATTTGGACTCAGGTCATATTATATGCATCTCACATCATATTATATGCAAATTAGCAGGGGTGGGATTCTACCGGTTCTGTCCGGCTCTGTAGAACCAGTAGCTCTGAAGAGCAGCAGACATAAAACCGGTTCTATGTCTGCTACTGTTTTGGCCCACCCGCCTGGGCTCTTACCTGATCTTTATTTCCTGCTTTTTCAACTTCACCTGCCATGCGAGGCACAGATGCAGTTGAAAAAGCAGAAAAAAGTGCTTTTTCAAACACTGCTTCCCTGCATGCAGCGCTGCTCAGCTGTCCAGGCAGCAAGCTGACGAAGATTTACATGCGAGCAGGGAAGCACATTGTAAATCACCAAACCGGTAGTTAACCCTGTCAGATCCCACCCCTGCAAGTCAGGTCATATGCATTTTTATGAAATGATTAGTACCTTTAAAAATGATAACACTCAGATACCTGAGTATAATAAAATTATAAATTGTTGAGGCAATTCCCCGTTAGGAGAATGAATGCACACAGGGAGACGTAGTGAGAGTGGTGAGGAATAACACACAAACAGCACACAGATACACTGTATAGTAAAATGTAGGTTTCACTTCCAGTAAACAGTTAAGCAAAGTCCAAACACAGTCCAAGTCATTCACAGTTAAAGCAGTCAGTTTTCAGTCCAGGGATAATCTAAACAACAAAGTCCAGTATCAAAAACAGTTCAGCAACAGACTTACATCAAATCCAAGACTAATGATGATCAGCAACAGTCAATAAGGAACAGCAACACTCTCAGCAACAGGAGAAGAACCACCCAGGTTTCTGGCTCCATCTTATGGCCGTTTGATGAACTACACCCAATTACCATTTTAGCATTCCCTTAAAGAGACAGTATTAAAATGTCTATCCTGGTTTATATATTTTCCAACCAAACTGTTAGGTGACTAACAGTCAATTCCCATATCAATTAATAGTTGCTTATAACAAATTAAATCTGTACATAATAAAGACAAACATGAGAATTCAGCCTCCATTGCTGACAAACTTAAATGTTTCTGTTGAATAGACCTCCATCCAATCAACACCTTTCCCAATAATACTACAGTACCCGATGTAGATTTACGTGTATTTACATCTGTAGCAAAACTTGCATCAGCATATGCAGTTAGACTTAGTTCATCTTTAGGCTCCAAATACAATGCATAATGCATTGTTTGTTTCAGATATCTTAACACACGCTTAGCAGATTGCCAGTGCTTTTCAGTCGGCTCAGCATTAAATCTTGCTAATTGGTTAACACTGTATGCTATATCTGGCCTTGACCAATTACTGAGATAAGATAAACTACCAATCAAGGACTGATAAATGTTCTTATCAAAAACAGGACTTTGAACATCACTATGGCTAAACTCCTGGCTCATCGGTGTTTTAGCCAGTTTACAAAGTTCCAGTTTAAAACTTTTTAGTAATTGGTTAATTTTATCTGCCTGGGAGATTTTGTAACCTCCCCTAGTTCTATCTATCTTTAAACCAAGATATTGTTTTATTTCTCCTAACTGTTTTATCTTAAATTTCTTCTCTAACAGTGATATTATTTTAGTAGCTTCATGTTCAGTTTTGGTGATTAATGCTATGTCATCAGTAAACAATAGCAACAATGACACTACACCATCACTTTCCTTTTAAAACAAACATGGATCAGCCATGCCAGCTACAAAACCTATCTTAGTTAATTCTTTAACTATATATTGGTTCCACTCATATCCTGATTGCTTCAAGCCATAAAGACTCTTTTTCAATCTCCAGCAATCAGTTATATTATCATTTTTGATACCTAAAGGTTTCTTCAAATATATAGTGTGTTGCAACGGTGCATGCAGATATGCCGTCTCTACATCTAAATGATTTACAATGTATTCCTCCTTAGCTGCCCACACTAATGCTGCTCTTAATGTAGTAGCCTTCAGACTAGGCGCAAACACCTCATCGTAGGCGTTTGCTGTCTGATTGAACCCTTGTGCTACTAACCTGGCTTTATGGGTAACAGTCCCATCTACACTAGTTTTAAGTTTATAAATCCATTTACGCCCTATGGCGTGTTCACTTTGTGGTAACCTAACATTTTCATATACCTCCAGTTTTTGTAAGGATTTCAGTTCCTTATCCACTGCTTCCTGCCAAGCAGCCTGATCCCTTGCAGGATACAGTTTCAGTTCATTTTAATTACTAGGAACTGTATTTACTTGGCATACAACACTAGCCTGATACCTATCAGGTGGTCGTGTTACTAGGGTTGAACATCTAGGTAATACAGGGCTTACTGGTGGACTCACCTGTTCCACCTTCTCCTGTTCTTCTACCTCCTCCTGTGCCTGTTCTCCTACTTCCTCCTGTTTTTCCTCTTTAATGGCTATTTGTGTTTTACTTATTTCATCTTTTTGGACTACTTTGGTGTCAATAATAACATCATTGCTGGATTCCTGTTCCAGTTTATTCTGTTGATCTCTATCCAGCCGTCTTCTTGCCTCTTCTAACAATCTTCCGGTTATGTCAGCCAATGTCAGTTCATTTCTGGTCAGGACTTCCAGTGAAGATACGTAATCACCATAACTTTCATCCAATGAGGAAAGAATGATGTAAACCTGATGCAGCTCTGAAAAAATCAGTTCCTTTTCATGTAGCTCTTGAAAAGTTCTTTTCATAAAGTTCAAATGAGCTAACGTATCTCCACCTTAAAGAAGACGTGCTCTAAACAGTTTACCTGTAAGATGTATGTGTGCACCTACACCTAGCAGCAGACTCTTCTCCACGAGTATGGACTGGCTGCTGGTCACTCAGTGTTAGTCCAATTATACAAAGAGCTCGTTCGTTGTTTTGTTTAAAGTCAGCTAGCTTCTTGGCATCGTCCTCATTTTCTGGATCCCAAGAATTTACATCCAGTGGATTTTGAACTGCATTCCATAATCCTTCTCTACGCAGAAGTAAACTGCACTTCACAGACCAGGAAACATAGTTTGTTCTATCCAAGCGGGTTATCAGTGATAGACTTGTTGACAGGTCTTGTGCTATCTTTACCAGGACAGTAACCCACACTTAAACAGTAAGCAGCTGTCTGTATACAGTACTGTGCATTCACACCAACTCTCAGTTATCTGAGCCTGGTATGTCCTGGGCCCATAACCAGTGTTGAGGTAATTCCCCATTAGGAGAACGAGCACACACAGGGAGATGTAGTGAGAGTGGTGAAGAATAACATACAAATAGCACACAGCTACACTGTGTGCTGTGTAAAATGTAGGTTTTACTTCCAGTAAATGTAGGTTTTACTTCCAGTAAACGGTTAAGCAAAGTCCAAACACAGTCCAAGTCATTCACGGTTAAAGCAGTCAGTTTTCAGTCCAGGGATAATCCAAATAACAAAGTCCAGTATCAAAAACAGTTCAGTAAAAGACTCACATCAAATCCAAGAATAACTATGATCAGCAACAGTCAATAGGGAAATGCAGGAATGGCAACACTCTCCAGAACAGGACAGAACAACCCAGGTTTCTGGCTCCATCTTATAGCCGTTTGAGGAACCACACCCAATTACAATTTTAGCATTCCCTTAAAGAGACAGTATTAAAATGTCTATCCTGGTTTATATATTTTCCAACCCAACTGTTAGGTGACTTACATTCCTAACATAAATGTATATGCATTTACAGCATTGTAAGGGTACAAAATATTGCATAAAGAACATTAGTGAAAAAGATGCAGTTTTATAAGTAAAGGAAACTTGCTTTATTACGTTATACAGAGAATTATTCATGATTTTATAAAATATACAAATGTTCGGACATCTGAAAGCATTTAACTAACTTCATCTGACACTGGTTATTACTCTGATAAAGTACTCTGAGATACAATGCTTTTTCAAACAGAGTGGTGCTCAGCTTGTAAAAGTATACTTTGACAATTACCTAGATACTGAACTGATCTGAAACCAAGAATAAGCTGAAGGAGAAAGACTAAAATCTACTGAATGACCTAGTCTATCTACTACTATAAAGGTCAAACACTTAATTCCCTATTTCTAAGAAACAACATGAGTTTCTAATGAACTCAAATGGAACTAGAAAGCCCACTAATAAAAAATCAAGCCAGTTCTCTTTTCCTATTATTGTTCCCATACATTAACATGTAAAGGGAGACATCCTCCATATCTGGGAGCAGCACCTTGTCATCAAGATTGGTAGTCACTGAATGACCTGTGTTGTAGGAATGCAGTATTGCAGGCTTTCTGCTGACTGCCAGCAGTTTGGCAGTTCTATTCTCACTGGCTCAAGTTTGACTCAGCCTTCCATCCTGCCAAGGTTGGTAAAATGAGGAGCCAGATTGTTGGGGATAACATGCTGATTCTGTAAACCGCTTGGAGAGGGCTGTAAAGCATTGTGAAGTAGTACCTAAGTCTAAGTGCTATTTCTATTCAGCAGCCCGGTCTGCTGGCAGGCAAGCAAACAAAATGAAAGAGCACTCCTCTCCTAGTCTATTGCTGGGTTATGTAACTTTAGTCATGTTGACCCTAATATGATCAATTCTTGGAGATTATGTTTGCACAGAGACAAGAGCTCACACAGGACATGTCAAAATTTTCAACTTTCAATTTCCAAACATTAGAGGTTCTCAAAAGTTGTGACATGCTTTGGGGATTGTAAAGATATTTTGGTTACTAATATAATTTAGATGAGCTTGGTAAGCAACTGCATAAATATCATAACTTTTTAACATATTGTTTAATTTCACAGGTTCAGCTGTCTTTCTCTTTTTGTTAACTGTAATTTTGTCTGAGTGTGTTAGTACTGCTGGCCTAGTTTTCTGTGAGTGTGATAACTGATCTGTAATGACTCTTTAAAAAAGGACAAGACTGGGAACATTCACTCACATGGGCAATCTAATGAAACTGGTAGAGATTCATTGCCGTCTGAACTCCCAACACTGCGAGACATTCTCAAATATGGCCTATTGTTAAGAGAACGGGTGTCGGCAACGAAGAGAAAAAGAACATAGCAAACCTAATCAAACAAAAAGTAGACATGTATGTTTGCAAGAGACACATATCCAAAATCACTTTAAAAGTATTTAGAATGCCCTAAATTAGGACAGTTATATACAGCTTCAGCGGAATAGCCATATATGTTAAGCTCCAAGATCGAAGAATCGCTCCTTAGGCTATAAAGAGCCCCAAGTCAGCAAAGGAAAAAGGCAGCCTCTGGCCACACGAACAGCTGGCTGACGTTATCAGTTTGCTGATCGTTTTTTACGACCGCTCAAACCTCAGGCATGGGGGAGGTCTGCAGACGCTGCCCAACCTGCCTGCACAGCGCTCTGGCAATGCTGCTTCCAACGTTGCAGGAGAGAGAGCCCTGCTCTCCTGGAAGAACAGCTGCCCAGATCCCTGGGAGCTGCTTGAAGTGAGGAAAAAAGTACTGAAGATCGCTGGTGATTGCTATCTAACAGAACGCTTTCAGAGACACAGCTACTGACTGAAAGGAGCTGAGTCAAAAGCTGGGATCTCTCCCGGGGGCTGGCTTTTATATCTTAGTACAGACTCAGCTAAATGACATTATAGGAAGGAGTCAACTCATCCTGGGCTCTCGATGCAGCATGGAGGAGAATCAACGAGTTTTATAAAAAACTACGTAACAAAATTATTGAATCAGAACAAAGAAATATATGCATCATAGGAGACTATAATGCAATAGCAGATTACAAAAAAGACTACAGTAGTGGAGAAAAAAAACTAGAAAGAAAAGAATGG